AGCTCTCCAGCTACACGCTGAGCTCTCCAGCTACACGCTGAGCTCTCCAGCTACACGCTGAGCTGTCCAGCTACACGCTGAGCTCTCCAGCTACACGCAGAGCTCTCCAGCTACACGCTGAGCTCTCCAGCTACACGCTGAGCTGTCCAGCTACACGCTGAGCTCTCCAACTACACGCTGAGCTCCTCAGCTACACGCTGAGCCCCTCAGCTACACGCTGCTGGGTTATGACTTTAGTTTTAATTGCTATTTAAAATATCGACAGTCGTTAAAAATTATTTATAAGCTGCATTTTTTTCATTCATTCATTTTTCTCGCGTTTTCCGAAATATTCATTCCCATTTTTGTATCGGTCGAAATTCCGTAGTAGAATAGGTATATGATAAAATAATTCAGAAATCACATTTAGATTTAGAACAACCCATAGCTTGTAGCATTTGCATTCCAGCCTAGAATCGATATCGGTTTTTGATTCGAGAATTTAATGTTAAGAAAAAAATCGTTGGTTTCGCCAACACAAGTTCTTCTCCATGAAGTTATATAGATAAAAAATATCCCAGCTTTTGTCAGTGATTTATTCTCAGAGCTTCTGGCGTTTTACAATCTCTTGTTTATGTTTGTGCGAGATAAGTGAACATAAAAAGATAAGATAGGTCGTGAGCTACGTGCGCCGCGTGAACTGCTTTCAGGCCTCACGTCTGCGGCTGATAAGATAGCGGACCCGTTGACCTTGTGCCACTACCACTGCCATGTGGCATTCATAACATGCCACCTCATGTGGCAACGGCATTCATAACATGCCACCTCATGTGGCAACGGCATTCATAACAAACACGAACGCCGTCAATGTCGCTTCAATAAAAATACCAAAATGGTTGGAGAGTTCAAAGCGGAACATTTTAATTTTTGATATTTAGTTGAAACAGAAATGAAATAATTACTTATCCTCCTCATGAATATATCAAATAATTTGCCTAAGTTATCAACGTGAAATTCCATGAAAGCCAGAGATCTAATATTGGTGTAATTCAACAGAAACTTTTCTTTTATGCAAGTTTGATTAAAGACCAGAGCATGTTTTTTATTAATAATCTTCTTATTCGTTTTTTCAATGAGATGAGCAAAATTTCTTGCTGGCGCCGGGAGATCAAAAAGCCGGTTACCAAGTGACATTTTAATGGAATGTTTCGAATATACAATTTTCATTATCAAGCAGGTGAAGGTTTTGCAACACTTGAAACTGAACTCTTGAAAGCGACAGTTCTAAGCCCAAATTACTCTGAAAATTATTTCGGCGTGCGGATGAATCCTGTAGTTTGGAGGTTGATAGCTGGAGACTTGCTCTTGATAATGAGGGCCTCAGCTATCGCCAGTCTCGATGGGTCAGGGCACCGCATAACTATGCTGGTGCAGGCCTCCAATGTCGCTCGGGTGATGGTCTCATTGTGAGCCTCCCGCATGTTGTTCTTAGGTCCTCCAGATTGTAGGTGGTATTTTAGTCGTCGGCTATAGGTCATGCCGACGTAAAGACCAATGTAATTTATGTTTTGAAGAAGTCTGCAACCTTCTTTATTACATGAAATTTTATAAACAACATTAGTTTCCTGAAGCAGTCCAGATTTTTTTACAGGGATTATTATTCATGACAAGGTTTTCAATTTTCTTATTTTTGTAGTAGATAAAAAGTTTGATTTTCCTCAGTCCATTAAAGTCTCATTTGGTAACCTGCTTTTTGATCTCTCGGGGACAGTAAGAAATTTTGTTCGACTAATTGAAAATCAAATAAGAAGATTGTTAATAAAAAGCATGTTCTAGTATCTAATCGAAATTCCATAAAAGATCTAATATTGTGCACTTATGATTTAGGTACCAAAAATGCTGATGCATTTAGGATAAATTTGTCTCTGTGCATACACTACACTCACTGACGTCTGCATGTGTGTCGTCTAAATAATACCGTGCATAACACACCTTCAAACGGAAGTGACACGTTTAAATTAAAGGAAAATTAACTCACCACTTTCCGTCTTCCTTTCGCTCTTCCAGTTGGTGTGCGAGTGGAAAGACACCGACTTGGTTTTTCTTTCACTTCTGGCGTCGGTGTTTTCACTCGTGCCACTTGCATTGCTCTGAACGCCCACCGTGCTGCTCGTGTCGCCGATGCTGAATTTCCTTTGATTATAATGTGGAGATTTGGAGCCGATCTCCCCTGAGAAATGGGAGCCGAAAGGGGATGGAGATCTAGCTGGCGAAGATGGTTCTGAATGTAGGCGGTATCTAGGAGAAGGGGATCTAGGTAGCTGGTTGGGTGGGTTAGTATATGGTCTAGGTGAAGGAGATCTAGGTGGCTGGTGAGATGGGTCTGTATTTGGTCTAGGTGAGGGAGATCTAGGTGGCTGGTAAGATGGGTCTGTATTTGGTCTAGGTGAGGGAGATCTAGGGGCTTGCAATTGCTCATCTGAGCTGGACCGGGCACCAGAACTTTGGTTTCTGGTGTCCGGCTGACCGTTAGGCTGCAGACGGTTTCTGGAGGCTGGAGTGAGGGGAGCATCGGGATTCTCACTCTCCATGCTGCTCCATGAATGTTTTTTGGAATTATTATCGAAACATTGTGGTACTTTACCGTTGTTGACGGGACGACATTGGTCGGAATTATTGGAAGGGCTTATTGCACGCCCAACACGGATGGTGCAAGAGGCAGGTTGTGGTTGAGAGACGTGGTCTCTGCAATCCTCCGAGTTGTAGGGCAAAGTCAACTCAAATGTAGGGTTAGGAATACCGCCCTCATTCGCTGTGCCCCTAACATGACCATCAACTGGCATCACAGTTTGATGCAGGAGTTTATGCTCAGGCCTCGCTGGTTGGGCCACATTATGTGTTCTGCGCCTCACAAGGCCTCCATTAGCGGCCTCAGCCATGCTGCTCCGACGACTCGACGGCGACGAGACGAGTCAAGCAGGGAGAACAATTTGTACAACTTCTTTTACGCTCGGCGTTGCGTTACCGGTCATCGCCGTATATTGTCCTCCATAGCTTCATGCGTAAATTATTTCACTTTTATATTCACTTTTGTCTGATTCGGATTTAGGATTTTTATTTTGATTGTTTGTGGTTATTTAAATACTGAACCTAGACCGATCACAATAATTAAGCAATTAAATTATCATAAATTTCAGGTTCTTCACTTACAATCAACCATTTCCTCATATTTCTATATCTTCAAGTTGCTTTGAGAAATTTTAACATGCCTTCAAGTCAACACGTAATATATATACCACACACAACAGACTTTCACAGATTTCTTTTCTAATTAAGTTGCTTTTTAAATATTGTCAATCATTAATCTAATAACCACGGACGTAATTAAACATTAAATAAACTTTAACACATTCCCTACGTAGAAAAATAAACAGAATTTGAGAATATTGGCAGCCTGACCGAAGCTGATAGCCGCTTTTGTTGGTTAATTATCGGCGATTAGCAGGCCGTTTATAATAATAATTAACGAGCTCAGCTATCCCATCAAGAATTAAGAGCTTAACTATCCACCATTACCCTGCTCGAGAGAACGCACTATATTAATGGACTTGTATATTCGTGCCCTGCTCTGTGCGGCAGTTCCTTGATAGATGAGACAGCGACCAGCGTGTTGTGATACGCTGAACCTACCAACTTCTATACAATCCGCTACCATGAAGAACGAAGGCCGAGGATAACACGTGCATCACCATAGAGCGGATAACACGTGCATCACCATAGAGAGGATAACACGTGCATCACCATAGAGAGGATAACACGTGCATCACCATAGAGAGGATAACACGTGCATCACCATAGAGAGGATAACACGTGCATCACCATAGAGAGGATAANCGCGTGGTGCGCTAGTCACCGCACAGCAGCTACGCGTATTTGCCCTCTATCAGCGCGTAGGATGGTTGCACATTCATAATAATTTTATGAAACTTAAATTAAATTCACCTTGTCATCAAACTTGGAACCCTTGAGCTGAATATTATTATAAATATAATATAAATAAAAATGTTCTCATTATGAATCGCTTTTATTCATAACCATTTAGTGAAGATATAGGATGGCTAGTTGGAAGACATCGAGAGTGGCTTCAGCCACACGCCACTTTAAAGTGTTCTGGGTAGCCACCCAGTGCGGCGTTATTTTGCCACACATGACAACCACAACAACCATTAAATCAACCATCACTGAACTTGTCCACCACTGGTTGCATCGTGTCAGAGGTCACGGCATTTATAAGTTTTCCCTCACGCTGCAGGGACGGAGCTGCCGAGCGACACAACCTCACACGATCACGTCTACCGGGTAACTGGCGCTATCAATGGCACCGCAGCCGAGCCTGGCTGGCGTGAGTGGCTGATGAGATAACAGTGGCTGAGGTACAATGAGATAACAGTGGCTGAGGTACAATGAGATAACAGTGGCTGAGGTACAATGAGATAACAGTGGCTGAGGTACAACGAGATAACAGTGGCTGAGGTACAATGAGATAACAGCAGCTGAGGTACAATGAGATAACAGCAGCTGAGGTACAACGAGATAACAGTGGCTGAGGTACAATAAGATAACAGTGGCTGAGGTACAATGAGATAACAGTGGCTGAGGTACAATAAGATAACAGAGGCTGAGGTACAATAAGATAACAGTAGCTGAGGTACAATAAGATAACAGTGGCTGAGGTACAACGAGATAACAGTGGCTGAGGTACAATGAGATAACAGCAGCTGAGGTACAATGAGATAACAGCAGCTGAGGTACAACGAGATAACAGTGGCTGAGGTACAATAAGATAACAGTGGCTGAGGTACAATGAGATAACAGTGGCTGAGGTACAATAAGATAACAGAGGCTGAGGTACAATAAGATAACAGTAGCTGAGGTACAATAAGATAACAGTGGCTGAGGTACAACGAGATAACAGTGGCTGAGGTACAATGAGATAACAGCAGCTGAGGTACAATGAGATAACAGCAGCTGAGGTACAACGAGATAACAGTGGCTGAGGTACAATGAGATAACAGTGGCTGAGGTACAATGAGATAACAGTGGCTGAGGTTTATTTCGACAGAGAAGTCCACTGAGACGGCACAGGTGTTTCATGCAATGGATCGTTCTCAGATTCCTTCTTTTTCAAACAAAAAGGATACCGTTCGACGAGTTGAATTTGGCATGAAGACGCACATGTGGCAGCTTCAAGTAACCGCATACACGCACATGTGGCAGCTTCAACCTCCATATTTATAATTCGTTTATTTTGATACATAATTGACTTTCTTGATTAACAAGAACTTGAACTACTGGAACACAATAGTGGTATTGAGACACAAATACAACAATTCTGTATAAAAGGTTGGTCATAACTTGTAGCACTGTATTACTGTAGTCTTTTGTAGTCACTGAGTATATCTTAGTCACGGTCACTGTATATATATCACAGTGTAGTGTATAGTTACTGTGTATGTTTTCACTGTGTCATATCTTGTAGCACTTTAGTCTTTTTCCTACATTACTTACGAGAGAATTCATCAGATGATGCAATCTATTAAGACTTCATATATTTACTTGAAAATACCGTATGTCTAACTACGACTATTTGCAATATCTCACAAAGCTCATTTAGCAATATTAAAATAAGTTTGTGATTGATTTTCCTGCAATAATTGGCAAAATATATGTATGATGGGACGAGAAGAATAAGTATCATGCAGCTGATATGAATAAAAATCTGATATAATTATATTGCTATTTTAGGTATCGATCAACTTCGATCGATACTACAATGAAAAGTAAATTGTCCGTCTGACAGTTGACGTTACAGGAATCGTCTAAGTCGGAATATCTTCTGTTGATGTTATCGTTCTCATTTATTTCAGTAATTTCCCTGCACTATTCAAATTTCATGCTGTATGTCCTAAATCTGGCACCGATTTTATTCCCCTCACAATTCGTATGATTTTTTCAGACTAAACTCATTTTGTAATGTAGAATACGGTTTGTCCGTAATGTAGATGTACTCATTGCGATATGTTACATCTAGCATGCTTCATGGTTATAAAATTTTAGGCATCGATCAACTTCGATCGATACTACAATGAAAAGTAAATTGTCCGTCTGACAGTTGACAGCGTTACAGGAATCGTCTAAGTCGGAATATCTGTTGTTGATGATATCGTTCCCGTTCAATTCAGTTATTTTCCTGAACAATTCAAATTTCACGCTGTATGTCCTAAATCTGGCACTGATTTTATTCCACGCACAATTCGTACGATTATTTTAAAATTTATCTCATTTTGGAATATAGAATGCAATTCGTCCAAAATGTAGATGTACTCATTGCGACATGTTACATCTAGCAAATGCTTCATGGTTATAAAATCTAGACACTAGCTTGAAACTTCATTGGCGTTCATTAAATATTTTTTGAGTCGATAACCGTATCCAATACAGAATTTCGGAGAGATGTCGATGTTAACTAGTCGTTCAAAATTTGCTAACGCCGGAATTCTAATGTAACCTCGCTGTAAGCCTGTATCCAATAGTAATCCACTATGAAACATGTGCATATGTATAAATGCCTCAATATGTAAACTAATACTATGTATAAATGCCTCGAGCAATATTAATATGCTGCTATTTATTTATCGCCAATGCGGTACCTCTGCATTCAGCACTCTGTGTTGCTGCGTTCCGCGCCTTCTCGTCGCAACACCTCGGTAAGCTTTAGGAATATCATTTATGAATATCTTAATTTAATCCAATCACACTAAAATTGTTTAATTGTATCTATTTCTTTTAAAGGATAAAGCATATAGTTACTATGGTTGAATTTTCGTCCAACGATTCGTTGTCAATGACACTGCTATATTGACGACCGACACTAAAATGTCGGCCTTCCTTAATTTAGGGGATGATTAAAATTTGGGATTCTGAAAATGTCTAATCCTGCATTAGACTCGATATTCAATCTCGCTTCGCTGCAACTATTTAACATCATTGATGGTAAGCGACTTGTACCATAGTTTAAATTTTGCCCACAAGTTCCGAAGATACAAATATACATGAATGCTTCCAAAGTGGTATTAATTAGATGTGGTAGCTAAATATACATCTTCATAGCACGTTTAATTTCAACATTGAAACGATACCCTTGCTACCTTCAGCGCCCTGTCGCACCACCACGGTAAACTAGTTATCATTTTATTTGAGACTTATTGTAATTTAATCGAAATAAACTAATCAACTATTCATGCATATCGTAATGGTCAAATAAAGAAACTATTCATGCATATCTAATCGTTCAATGCATATCGTAACAAATTCATGCATGAACCCTCACCACCGTCGTTAAATTGGGAGCGCAGCCGTGCACCACCAATTTTGTGCACCAATAAGCCCTGAATCGAACGTCTTGGATCTCTCCGGATATCCACCAATCAGCCGTGCACCACTCGGCTTTGTCCTCCTCCGGCCTTGACCACCACCTGCATGCCGTGCACCACCAGGCCGCGGATCGAATCTGACTTCCGGGCATCGTTTAATTACGTAATTTTACGTTCACCGCATCTGAGGTTAGGTTTCAGATAGCATGGTTCTGTTCCAAAATTTATCGTCCTTCGACAAGAGGCCGTTCGACCGAGGGCTGGTTCGACCCACGGCCTAGATACGGACGGCTTGAAGTGTTGAAGGCTACGTTCCGGAAGGCAGGAATCATGATGGTCCATTACATCCAGGGCAGTTGTGGTCTTCGGCAGGCGACCCGTTAAATTATTATAAAATCCTGTCAGTTGACTGCTACACAATTGCAGCCAATGCAGACTTTCGTTCAGCAACTAATGACGGTGGTTTTTTCTTGAAGTTGGCCCCTTAAACTAAACAATTATCCTCAATTTCTTGCGTAGCGCTTGACCGCA